GCCCTGGTCTGCCGGTCCCCAGGGAGCGGGAGACGCGTGTTCCCCGCGGTGCCCGCACAGCGCCTGGCCTGGAGCCGGGGCCCAGCCAGTGTCCCACGCGCATGCGCAGAGATGACTTAGGACTAAACGGAGAATGGCAGCCTGGGCGGGAAAGCAGGGCCTGAGGCGAAGCTTGCGTGCGGGCTTGGGGGCAGGGCGAGGGGCGGGGCAGCGGGGGGGCAGGGAGGCTGCCGAGCGGGCCATGCTGGGGGACGGCTCGGGCGCTGCTGGTCCTCGGGCCGGGCGGAGGGACGAGGAGGGTCAGCTGTCCTGGAGGCTGCGGACTGCTGCTTCCGCCCGTGGGAGAGGACGGGGAGGAACGTGCCTGCGGGCCCGTCTCCAGCTGGCCGGGTCTTGCTGCACTGGGCGTTAAGTGTCCCTTCCCCCTGGGGCCACACGCACTGGCCCAGAGACGGTCTGGCGTCCGAATGTTCATGCCACGTGCCCACGGGGAAGCCCCGGCCAGGAGGTAGGTGCCGTGCGGGGCCATGAACCGCGGCACAGTGGACGGGGTCCTTGAAGCTGCTCTGAGTCCGCGCAGGCAGGGTGGCCGCGGGCTGGAATGGCACCCAGACCTGGCCGAGGCTTGGCTGGGAGTCAGCACTTGAGAGGCGTCTGCTACATGAGGTATGTCACGCTCATTGCAGGAACATTCGGGAACGCGTGGTGCGAGCCGGGGGCCGCGTGCTCTGCCGAGGGCCCTTCAGCGGCACTGGGCACAGCCCAGGAAGTGACACACCAGGGCAGGACAAGCTCGGGGCTGGACCACGGAGTGCCAGGGGGATGCCACTGGGAGGATTCGCCCGGAGGCCGGAGAGGCGTCCTGGGCGTCAGGTGCCCTGCGTGAAGGCTGGGCTTGGCCAGTTCCTGTCATTCTGCTGGGATCAGTGTTGCGTTCTTCGGGCTCTGGGTTCTTACACGTCACTGTGAAGGTTTCCCAGTGACCTTTCCTCCCTGTCCTGAGAAACTGGGAGTGTATGAGACCTTTCCACTGCGGCAGGGGCAGGAGGGGGAAGGTCCTGAGGGGTCAGAGGGCAGGAAGGGCAACAGAGGGCAAAGTTCATGAGCATCACGGTTCTGCTGGGCTAGTGGGTGAAATGGGGTCATGGTGCAACAGAGCGGGAAAGGAGCCCAGTCCAATCCTCCCATTTCACAGATGGGAAACTGAGGCCAGTGTGCTTCTCCGACTCAGTTTCCTCATCTGTAAAAGGAGCCACTTGTTCTGGAAAATAGCTGAGGATCCTCCCAGCTCTGACTCGCTCTCTGCGCCTCTCCAATCCAGCACCACAGCTCACACTTGGGGTAAAGGAACCCACCCTGATGGCGTGGCCGTCACTCACATCTGCACACCAGCTGGAGGGGGTCTGAGTCTATCTGGAACTCTCTTGTTACCGGCACTGTTTATTGTCCGTTCTACTTCCAGTTTAAAACATCCACGTACTAGTGACACTGGTTTCTGGTACTGTGTAGACATGACCTGTGTGTATTTTCCCTGTGTGTCTTGCAGAGTTCAATCTGGTTTCTGTATAGCCTGAGCTCTTCACCGTGAATTTGGACAGACCAGTTAGTACCTCATACTTTCTAGAGCCTTTGGGGATGGATGGTTCAGCTCCTGAGAGGGTGTCAAAGGGGAAAGTGTGCATGAGTGGTGGGTGTGCACGTGTGTGCATATGTGTACATGTGTGTGAATATGTGTGCACGGCGTGTGCATGCATCTGTGTACATGGGGTGCACAGTTTATGCATGTGTGTATGCTGTGAGAGCACATGTGTGCATATATGTACATGTGTGTGAATATATGTGTGTGCACGTGTGTACACAGGGTGCATGGTATATGCATGTGTGTTTGTGTACGCTGTGTGTGTGCATGCATGTGCTTATGCACATGTGTTTTTATTTCTTTTTTAGAGACAGGGTCTCACTCTGTGGCCCAGGCTGGAGTGCAGTGGCCTGATCACAGCTTACATTAACCTTGAACTGGGCTCCAGTGATCCTGCCACCTCAGCCTGCCGACATGTGTTTCCAGTTGGAGGTGGGGGGTGGAGGGGGCTCCTGAGAGGGGCACAGAGAGCCCGGGGCACCACAGACTCAATCTAAGTTCTCTGGGACTGTCTCCAGGCAGATTCTCGTCCTTGCGTCCAGTCCCTAGGTGGCTTCAATTTGGATGGAAGGCCACTTTCCATTTTTTCTCTCAGAAAGATGAAGCTTGGCCCCTGAAATGAGACACTTGGAGGGGACTTTGCATTTTCTTAGGGGCTTAGGAGCCTTTGCGTGTCTGGGGCCAGTGGGACGTGATCACGTGGCTCCTGGCGCTGCCCGTTAGGAAACGCAGAAGTCCTGGGTCGCGGCTCTTTCTCCGCAGCTCCTGCCCCTGTCTGGCGCCTGCCGATTGCCTTTGAGGCCCGGCTGGTGCCGTGTGCAGAAGGCACGGGCCACGAGGGCAGAGGTTACCGAATCAAGGGCTCCCAGAGGCAGCTAGAGTCACTTCCCATCCAGTGAGACGGGAGGGCTTTGCCTGCCAGCGGCTGGGCTGTAACATGCAGCTCGAATGCAAACATGGCTGTATGGAAATCAGGACACGGCTAAATTAGTTTTCTACAGACCTGATTTGCAATATGCTTGTGAGAGTAAATGTTAATATTCTCACTCGGGGTGAGTTATTTTGCAGCATCTGAATCTCACAGATGTACTTCCATCTACGGCTAATGTGACATTTGCTACCACAAACTTGAATTAGGTACTACTTCTCCTCCCGACTGCCTGCTCTGAAAACCTGGGCACTGGTGTCTCAGAAGTTAGCTCAATAAACGGCGGAGGCAAGAGGCAGGAATTCCAGGGCTGCTGGAGTTCCAGATATTTTCCAAAAATATCTGAGGCAGCTTATAAAACTAAAACAGCACATCAAAATAAAAAAAAAAATGAAGAGAAAAATCAATCAGGATAAATGGAAAATAAAAGTGGAAGGGAGGCCGGGCGTGGTGGCTCATGCCTGTAATCCTAGCACTCTGAGAGGCCGAGGCGGGAGGATTGCTCGAGGTCAGGAGTTCGAAACCAGCCTGAGCAAGAGCGAGACCCCGTCTCTACTATAAATAGAGAGAAACTAATTGGCCAACTAATATATATAGAAAAATTAGCCGGGCATGGGGGCACATGCCTGTAGTCCCAGCTACTCGGGAGGCTGAGGCAGGAGGATCGCTTGAGCCCAGGAGTTTGAGGTTGCTGTGAGCTAGGCTGACGCCACTGGGCAACAAAGCGAGACTCTGTCTCAAAAAAAAAAAAAAAAAAAAAAAAAAAGTGGAAGGGAAATATTAGACTGGAATGAAAATTATAACATAGAGGGATATAAATGAGAAATTCTGACAGTGTTACTAAAGGGTGGGGCACTGCAAACTTGGCTTTGAGTGTCCTAGCGGCCAAAGCAAGAAGGAAACACCGTTGGGTGTATGTGGCTGGTGGTTGAGAGAACTTAGTTGTCCTGTAAGGACACTTAGCAGAAGCAGGTCAGAGTCCAGCCCCTGGACTCTTGGTTGCAAGAATTTTCCACTATTCCCTGTGACCGACTGACCCCAAGTGACCTCCCAGCCGGTCAGCCCCTTTCCTTCCACTGCAGGGGCCAAGCTGGGGCCTGCTCAGGGCAAAATAATGGGCCAGAGGTGGTGGCCAGAGGAGGACCAGCCCCCTGGGAGAAAAGAGGCTGGCTGGGGGTGTCCCCAAACAGTTCCAGCTTGATGATCCGTCACCCCGAGACTTCAGCCAAACCCAGTGTGTGTTCTTTGCTGCATGCCCGAATGTCACGCTTCGGTATTGAACCCGGACACCTTTGGAATGATTCCGTTGAGGTCTCGGTTGGGCTAATTCTAGACTAGGCATTTAGCGATCTCCTCCTCACCCACCCGCAGGGAACGTCCTGTCGTTGGGGGACGCCCCAGGCCCTTTGGCGTTTGTTGAATTTTGATCTTCGTCATCACCACCATCATCATCGTCATCTCTAACTTCACTGAGCACCTCATTTGTTCCTGCCTGCGCCAGGCAGTTCTCAGACACTGCAGTCGTTCCACGGGTATGAGATAGAGTTGAAAACTCCTGGATCAGAAGGAAGGAACCCAGTAGGCATGGCCGGGCATCCTCCTGCCAGCCTTCCTGGCGTTTTGCACCCTGCCTCATGGGGTGACATGGTCCTGCCGGCGTGGGACAGGCCTGGGCTCAAATTCTGTCTCTGCCATGTACTGAGGGGTCTTGGGAAATTGACTTAACCTCTCTGCACTCCCTTATCTGGGGAACGTGGGTGAGGACAGGGTGGTTTTGAGGCTTACTTGAGTGTCACCTGCAGAGAGCTGGAGCAGTGGCCAGGAGAACTCGCTCCGGGGCTGCAGTGAGCAGGAGGAGACACTGTGAGTCAGGCCCACCCGGCCCTTCTGGTGTCAGGCCCCTGGCTGTGGCCACCACCCTGGGGCTCTTTAGGGACCGCCGCTGGGGCAAGGGTCCCCTCATCTCACATACCCTTCGTTTCAACCAGAGCTGCTTATTTTTATCTGCGTGGGAAGTTGGGTTTCCACTCAAGCTTTCATCAAAGGGTTCTGCACCCGAACCATTCTCCCTCCTCCTCCTCTTTCTCCTCCTTCTCCTACCCACCTGCCCCCCATGCTCCACCTGAAGCACGTTCAGGATGGACAGTGTTTGTTTCTTCAGTTCTGATCTCCTCTCTGGCATCTCTCCCCTGCTCCTGGCTCTGGTGGGCATCTAGTAACACCTCCCTCCGATTCCTGTTTGGGGATCTGTGTGGTTCTGAGGAAACTGATTTCACTCCTACATCCAGGGGTGAAACTGATGACCCAGGCTAAGCCAGGCCACGCCTTGCATCTTTCTGACCCCAGGGATTGGGTGTGTTGGCACAAGAGCTACACTGGAAGAATCAGAATGCATCTCAGGACTCCATCTGGAAATGTTGGGACAAAGACAGTCTCTTGCTCTTCATGGTGTTTTGCATAGATATGAGGGCTGGAACTGTGGCAGCCACCTTGAGACCATGAGGGAAGCCAGCCAGAAGACAAAGCCGACATTCAGAGGAAAACAGAAGCAGAGGTTTGTCCTAGCAGAGCACTCACTGCTGTGCCCCACAGCGTGCCCCTCACAGATCTAGTTCACAAGAGGTTGAACACGTGGCTCAACACCTGGCCTGTTGGGGTGGCGTGTGACTCGTGGGCTCCTCCCCAGCTCTGGCGCCTCACCTGGCACACAGTAGGTGTCTCAGTTTGCTCAGGGGGACATAACAAAATCCACAGACCAGGTGGCTTAAGCAACAGAAATTAATTTTCTTGCGGTTCTGGAGGCTGGAAGTCTGAAGTCAGTGTGTTGGCAGGTTTGATGTCTCCCGAGGCCTCCCTGCGTGGAGACGGTCACCTTCTCACTGTGTCCTCACAGGATCTTTCTCTGTGCCTGCACACCCCTGTGTCTCTGTGTGTGTCCGAGTTTCCTCTTCCTGTGAAGACACCGGTCAGATTAAATTAAAGTTCACCCCGAGGGCCTCATTTTAACCTAAACCCTCTTAAAAGGTCCCATCTGCAAACACAGTCCCATTCTGAGGAGCCGGGGGTCACGGCTTCAACGTGCGGATTTGGAGGGGACACCAGTTCGGCCCATGACAGCGAATGAATGAATGAATGAATGAATGAATGAATGAGTGCTTTGAAGGCAGCGTTAGATTTTCAGGGAGGGAGGGAGGGGGTCTGGTCACCCCGCTGTAAACAGGAGGCGACAGGCAGAGGGACGGGCTGAGATAATCCTCTGCACGGCACTGCTCGCTTGCTCCGGGCTCTTCCCTGCCGGCTCCTTCTGTCGTGAGCGACATCCCGACCGGGGACACGCGGAACAACAGCTGACGCTGTCAGTGGGGCGGCCGCCTCTCCGCTGCGCGCTCGGTGGTACCTGCCAACGCGGTGACATGTGAGCCTTGGCGGTGACATTGATCCCTCTCCCAGCGAGAAGGGGGAGCGGGAGCCCCGGGCGGTGGCCGCGTCTTCCCTTCCAGGAGGAGTGACAGGGCCGCAGCTTTTCATTCCAGACTAATTTTAGCCTCATCTTGAAAATCCAGGAAGGAAAGAGCGAAATTCCCTAAGAAGCTTTTTTTTGGGGGGGAGCCACAAAATCATTAACAGGTTGGATACTAGCAATTATTTATTTCCTTTCCCTCTTCCCTTATTTTTTTTTTTTTAAAGGTGGGAATGGGTTCCTCTTCCTCGTGAAAATGATGTTTCCGCTGAGATAAGAACTTGAAAGAGAAGACTGACCCTGGTGGGGCCAGCCAGTGTAGACACTTTGTGTGAGTTCAATCTCTCCAGCCAACATGTTCTCCTCCATTTAGTGCTGGGAAACGGGTCTCATTTTTTTTGTTGTTGTTGCTCCAAACACTTTATACAACATCAGCAGGAATGTGGGGCCTTGGGAATGAGGCATTTTCTGATGACACTGGGTGATCACGTGGGTGCAGTCCTGCTAGGAGGAGAGAACCAGCCTCATGCTTCCAGGTGCTCCTTAAGGAGGAAAAGTCCTGAAAGCAAAGAAGGTTTGTACTTTGTACGAGTGAATGCACTTGAACTTCTGTGCAGTGGGCTTCAGTGTAAATCCACCGGTCGTTTTCTGTCATACACTACGCACTGTGGAAGAAATTTGGATGGTGGTGGTGGTGGTGGGATTGGGGGTATGGATCTCCTGAGGGGGTGGAGAATTTGAACTTGGATTTAGTTCAAGGGGAAATGTGAGAAGTAGAGGGGAGACTAGCTGAGGGGCAGCAGAGATCTGAGAAAGGTCAAATAGGAGGATTCTTTGTTGAGTGGATAGGCCTTGGGGAGGCAGGGCAGACTCCAGAAGTGCTAGTTGGAGGAAGGCATGAGCAGACCTGCCATAGACAGTTGTGTGGGTTGTGCACTGAACAAAGGCAACAGGTGGAAGGGGTGAGGGGGGCTGAACTCCAGTATGTATTTTCCTGGCCAACCAATGTGGTATGACATGGCTGCCTCTACCCTGTGGGAAGAATGCCTTTTTCTTTGTACAAAGGTGCGTTCTCTCACCAGACTATGCACACGTAGTGTTGGGTCTGGTATGAAGGACTACCTTTTCCTATTCATAATTTACACAAGGATGCTGTATAGGTTTGCAGGCTTCAGGGTGTGTGGGCCAAAGCTCTGGGAGCCTGGGGTGGGTATCTAGTAACATCTCCCTCCGATTCCCGTTGTCCCCAAATCCACACGATGCATGGTTTCCCTGAGATGGCAATGACCTTCCTCCTTCTCTGAGTCAGCACATGGCCACCTTGAAGAGTAACCATCAAAGTGGTCTTCAGAGTTCTGGCCTTCTGGTATACCATGCTGTTCTTTGGGCTGAAATACTGGTCGTTTTTGTTATAGAAATGCCAATATTTTATGGTCTTTAAAAATGTGAAAATTTGGCCTGGGTGTGGCAGCTTATGCCTGTAATCCCAGCGCTTTGGGAAACAAAGGCGGGAGGATCATTTAAAGCCAGGAGTTCAAGACCAGCCTGAGAAACATGGCAAGACTCTCTCTCTACAAGAAAATAAAAACAAAAAATTAGCTGGGCATGGTGCCATATTCCTATAGACTCAGCTACTCAGGGGGCTGAGGCAGGAGGATCACCTGAGCCCAGGAGTTTGAGGCTGCAGTGAGCTACGATGATGCCATTGTACTCCAACCTGGGTGACAGAGTGAGACTCTATCTCAAAAAAATAAAAGAATAATTGAATTGTTTATATCTTGAGATCAAGATTAGTGACTGAGCTAATTTATGCAAACAGCATCACCGAGTGTGACAAGTCTAGCCAGGCTTGCCACTGGGCAAGTCACAAGAATCCACCACCTTGCCACTGTGCTTTAGTAAAGCTTCGATGGCAAGACTAAGTCGTTCTCCATAAGAGAGACTTTCAGAACAAGTGGCCCAGCGGCTCATCCATGGGCGGGGGGAGCTGTCGAGGTTCTGGGAGGGGTCATAAAAGGGGGAAGGAAACCCAGGAGGTGGAAGGTGAGGTGGAGAGTGGGTTGCCAGCCAGCAGGGTGAGGGTGCAGATGGCCCGGGATGGGCGTGGGAAGCTGCGGGCTGGGCCGAGAGCTCCCTGCACCACGGGGCCCATCTGTCCTCGTGGGCACGTGTGGAGCCTCCCTCCCTGGACTGGGGACCCGTCCTGAGTGCAGCCAGCCCTGCTAGGCCACCCGGCTCTGACACAGCATGTGCTTCCTGGATGCTTGTCGGCAGGGGACGCCGTCTGTGGTCCTCTACCTGCATGGCTGGCGGTTCCACCACGGGCCTCCTTTAGGTGAATAGCACAGTCTCAAAGTTCAAGTGCTTCCTGACTATGTTGAAGTTCACCCGTCATGAAGAAATCGCCTGATCCTTTTGTATCTAGGAAAAGGGCTTCTTGCAGCGACCCACCCTTCTCCATATACACATGGTAAGACTCACAGGTGCCCCATTGGTACTGACGACAAGGCCAGGCCGGAACCCCCTCAAATCCCCCTTCTGTGCTTCATAGATGATTAGCTGAAATGCTTGTCTCCACTCATCAGTTAAAACAAAATGCTTCTTAACTGGATTTTGGCTGAATTTTCCACCTTCCCCCAGGGCCCTGCACTTGGGTCGACCCTTGGCCTGGTGGGCAGACAGCCCCGCCGCCTGGGACCAGGCTGGCTCCAGGGCACGGCATCCTCCGACCTGCTGCCCGATCACGCCAGCCTTTCAGCTCACGTCCCCCTGCACTGCCTTCTTTCTAGCTTTGCTTGTCCCTTTCTGTAAAATAAAAACTCTTCTTGCCTAATTCTCAAGACACGTGCAGAACTCACAGCCAGAGCAGAGCACTCTCCCTTTTGCAAAAGTTCGCTCTCCCATGGTAGCAATAATCCTTTTAAATAAGAAGCCTCATTTGAAGGCCGGGCGCGGTGGCTCACGCCTGTAATCCTAGCACTCTGGGAGGCCGAGGCGGGCGGATTGCTCAAGGTCAGGAGTTCAAAACCAGCCTGAGCGAGACCCCGTCTCTACCATGAAAATAGAAAGAAATTAATTGGCCAACTAATATATATAATATAAAAATCAGCCGGGCATGGTGGCTCGTGCCTGTAGTCCCAGCTACTCAGGAGGCTGAGGCAGCAGGATCGCTTGAGCCCAGGAGTTTGAGGTTGCTGTGAGCTAGGCTGACGCCATGGCACTCACTCTAGCCTAGGCAAGAAAGCGAGACTCTGTCTCAAAAAAAAAAAAAAAGAAGCCTCATTTGAGTAAGCCAGATCTTTAAAGTTTGACAATCCTAAGGCGGCTTGCAGGCTCCCGCTGGGGCCGGGGGCCGGGGGCCGGGTGTGGACGTGCACCAGCTGTCAGGGAGACCCTGCACTCGGCACAGGCGCACGCCATCCCCACCGACCCGCCCCCAGGCCCTGAGCGGGGGCTGCACAGTTTGCATTTGATTGGGAAAAGACTGTCCCGTGTGCGAATCAATCAGTGACACCAATAACCATCTAATCAAGAAGAAGCCGGGGTCATGAGACTAAGGATTTATACAGAATCTAGTCCTTTAGGTGGTAATTGAAAAATTTTACTGGTTTATGTGTCCCGGAAAACACCAGCCTGGTCCCAATTCCTAATCCTCAATCACACTGTTTGGAACTCCTTTCTGGGCCCTTTGCCATTGTCCGCGGCAGAGCTACAGCCCAGCGCTGGCCAAAGTCAAGCTTGCGCCTCCTTAGTCCTCGTCTTGGTCTGTTTGAGCTGCTACAACAACATGCAATAAACTAGATGGCTTATAAATAACAGAAATTTATTTCTAACAGCTGTGGAGGCTGGGAAGTCCAAGATCAAGGTGCCGGCAGGGCCAGGGTGTGGTGAGGTGCTGCGTTCTGGCTCTTGGGTGGGTGGTGTCTCCCAGCTGTGCCGTCACATGACAAGGGCTCACATTCCTAAGGGCTCTGCCACCAAGCCCTAATCGCCTCCTAATACCATCACCTTGGGGATCAGGTTTCAGTGTAGGAATTTTGGGGAGCCACGAACATGGGGACCACAGCTGTCCTGGTATTTGTGACCCGCCCCATCCTCTCTTCTTTCTCCCGGCTTTTTATGATATTGATTAAGTCGGCTTCCTTCTCTGCAGCCCCAGCCCTTCGATCTCACTCGGCCTTACCAAGCATCCTAGAACCGGCGACAGAGAGATTTATTTTCTAAGCAGGAGGAGGGAGAGGCCGTGAGCGGGGGAGATGGGAGAAATCCCACCCATTAATAAATCTTGCTCCTGTCACGTTGTAATCTGGGGCACGGCGTGACAAGGGCCTTAAGAGAAGGCCAGACTCAGTGCTGCAGGGGTCTTGGGCGAGCCGGTCTTCTGGAACTTTCCCCCGGGCACTCCTCTGCTGCTCACTCACCTGCCCGGCGCAGCCCAGTGCGGAGACCTGCAGCTGCGCACGCTGCGCCGGGTCAGCTTCCAGATGCTCTGTCGGGTGCCTTTGATCCGTGAACAAATCCGTTACAAGCCAGTTAGACCTCTCGTGATTGTTGGCTGAATTAGTGCTTGGAAGCTGGCGGAGAGGCGAGAGCATGGGGCTCCTTCCTCCCGGCCCTCGGCCACCGCGGGTGTGCTGGGTTAATGAGGGTTCGCCGCCTGCCGCAGGCTGGGTGAGTGGGGTGAGCGTGTTCAGACTCTTTGTGCTGGCTCACGGTCTACACCGCCAGCTTGAGGCCCTTTACCAGGACACAGGTCATGGTGGCAGCTGGCAGTAATCTGGCCTGATGACCAGACGAGGCCCTGGGTGTATGCACAGCACGCCCACACCCACCCACCCACCCACACACCCACAAAGGCATTTGTTGTTTCAAAAACCCATTTCCTGGGTACCTGTTCTGTCCAGGGTCCTGGGATGTAGGGGAGACTAGTGCCTGGTCCCCGTACTTGAAAACATCATACTCCCGAGGGATCTCAACATCCATGCAATGAACCATCCTGTGATGCTCTTCCCGTTGCTCTGTGAGCGTGTCATCCGTGTGGACGGCAGTGTTCTGTGTGTGGACACACGACGTTCTGTGTGTCTACCTTCTTGATGGACCTGGTTCTAGTGAATAAAGTCGGTACATATATTTTTTCGTGGACACGCACAGTCATTTCTGTTGGGTGTATCAGCACACACCTCCGCCCTACAAATCAGCTTTGCGACACTATTGCATCCCTTGCTGCTCTCTTTCCTACGTGACACGCATCCCAGCCTGTCTCTGATCCTCCTGCACTGTGACCTGGGGCATAGTCATTGTTACGGCTTTTAAACCTGATGCTCAACCCACTTTTCTAAATTATGACCTGGGATCCTCTTTCTGGGTGTCGTAGCAGAGGCTGGTGGTATCCATTGTGGGCTGAACTGTGATCCCCCAATTCATATGGTGAAGCCTTAACGCCAAGCCCCTCCGAATATGACTGCATTTGGAGATAGGGCCTTTAAAAAAAATTTCAAAATACTACAGGGGTACAAATGCTTAGGTTACATATATTGTCTTTGTACCACCTGAGTCAGAGTTGCAAGTGTGCCCATCCTCTCCTTGCCCCCTCCCGCCTGCCCAACACCTGATGAATGTTACTTCCATGTGTGCACGTAAGTGTTGATCAATTAGTACCAATTCGACGGTGAGTACATGTGGTGCTTGTTTTTCCATTCTTGGGATACTTCACTTAGTAGGATGGGCTCCAGCTCCATCCAGGATGATACAAGAGGTGCTAGGTCACCACTGATTTTTATGGCTGAATAGAACTCCATGATATACACATACCACATTTTATCAATCCACTCACATATTGATGGGCACTTGGGTTGTTTCCACACCTTTGCAATTGTGAATTGTGCTGCTGTAAACATTCTAGTGCAGATGTCTTTATTATAGAATGTCTTTTTTTCCTTTGGGTAGATGCCCAGTATGGAGATAGTGTCTTTAAAGAGGTAATCAAGTTCAAACGAGGTCACTAGGGTGGGCCCTAATCCAGCAAGACTGGTGTCCCTTATACGAAGGGGAAATGTGAGCACAGACACACACAGAGGAAAGACCCTGTGAGGACACGGGCGAAGGTGGCCGTTGACAAGGCAAGGAGAGAAGCCTCAGAGGAAACCAACCCTGCTGACACCTCGATTTTAGATTTCCAGCCTCCAGAACTGCGAGAAGATAAATTTCTGTTGTTTAAGTTCCAATCTGTGGTACGTTGTCATGGCAGCCCCGCCCTGTCCCTGGGCATTTTCCGTGTACCAGGGAGACTTCTGATGGCCGGTGTCGTCTCTGCCCGAGGGCTTTGTCTGGGCAGGCCCAGTGGGCCATAGGTGCTGGAGCATTGCCTCCCAGTCTGTCACAGCCCTCAGCAGGGAGGAGGATCGGAGGGAAAAAATACCTCAGCCTCTTTGCCCCTCAGCTGGGGAAGCTCCGAGCTGTGCGTTCTAAGCACCTCTTAAAGGCTCCATCTTTTCGTAATGTTACCACGACAACTCAATTTCAACGTGAGTGTTGGAGGGAATGAACATTCAAACCGCAGCAATGACCCTTTACCTAAGATGCTGGCAGAAGGATCCATCTATTATGGATCTTTTTTTTTTTTTTTGCAATATTTCCCCTTTCCCTCTTGCTTTTTTCATTCATCTTCTTTTGGTTATTTCTCCATGCTCCACGCATTGCCCCTCTAGTTTATTTCCCTGTTGGGCTACGTCTTATTCTCATACACGAGGGGAGCTCGCTAGAGGATGGAGACATTTTTCTCTGAATCACAACTGTAGCTGGGAGGTTGGCGGTGGCTTTCTTCCAAGGACTTTTATTTTCAGTGTCATAAACTTCTTTACCATGGTGAAGGAGAGGCTATCAAAAGTCTGGTTATCTGCAGAGCTGCAAGCCCAGGAGCTATCCTTATTTATAGGATCCTGAGGATATCCATGATACTGGCTAAGAAATAAAATCGCAGCAAACCTGCTACAGCCTGAGAGTCAACAAATCTGTGTCTTCCAGATTGGTCTGAGACCAGCGGGGAGTCACACAGACCGGGATCTGATGCCAGCTCTGCTCCTCACAGCTTGCGTGATTGGGGGTAAGTGGCATTTCTGAGCCTTGGTTTTTTCACAGTTAGAAAGAGGGCCAACCATGGTGGCTCACATCTGTAATCCTAGTACTTTGGGAGGCCAAGGCAGGAGCATCACTTGAGGCCAGGAGTTCAAGACCAGCCTGAGCAAGTGCGAGACCCCATCTCTACAAAAAGACAGACAAATCCGCCAGGCGTGGTGGTGTGCACCTGTAGTCTCAGCTTCTCGGGAGGCTGAGGCAGGAGGATCACTTGAGCTCAGGAATTCGAGGTTGCTGTGACCTATAATGACACCATTGCACTCTATCCTGGGTGACAGAGTGAGGCCCTGTCTTAAAAAAAAAAACACCAGAAAGATAACTCCCCCATCAAAGGGCTGCTGTGAGGGTTCAGAGAGGCTATGTGATACAGGAATGTGGCCCCCAAGGTTGGGAGCCACTTGAAGTCCAAGTGGGTTCTTGGCTTAGTGCAAGAAAGAATTCAGGAGCGAACTGACAGAATAAAGTGAAAGCGAGATTTATTCAGAAACTGTAGAAGTTAGAACATCTACATCACAGACAGAGCAGAGGCTGGCCCTCCCTGCAGAAGAGAACAGCCCCCTGGAATCGAGCACCAGCCCGTTGCAGAGGAGAATCAGCCCCCTGGTTCCCGTTTCTTTCTATTTAAGCAACAGGCTAAATGAGGGGAGGGATATTCATGGCAGGGGGTGCTTCTCCATCATCTTGGTTCAAACTGGTTGGAACTTGTCCTGTCTTCATCTTGTTGGATCAGGGCAATTAGAAACTTTGCTTTGCAACTTCCTGACTCAGCTGGGCAATGCCTGCAGCAGCGCCCAAGGCAATGCCTGAGCCGTTCCTGCAGCAAGGCTGCACCCAAAGCAGCCGGCACCTGCCAGTTGCCCGGCCCATATGCATTTGAGTTGCACGGCTAAGTGTGGGGCGTGTGTGGTTCTTCCCACCTCTCTATGTGACCCGATTTAGGGACCCTCGAGTTCTTCTTTATAATCAGTTTTATTGAGGTATAATGTACATAGAATAAAATGCACTTATCATAAGTATAGAGATGGATGAGATTTGACAATTATGTGTAACCGTGTAATCACTATCCCAATCAAGGAGAAGAGCATTTCTGTCACCCCTCAAATTCCCCCATTGCCTCTTCTCGTGTCTTAGTTGCCCAGGGCTTCGTTGACAAAGTCCCACAAATTGAGTGGTTTAAGCAACAGAAATTTATTCTCACGGTCCTGGACTAGACGCTTGAGATCAAGGTGCTGGCAGGGCTGGTTCCTGCTGAGGGACACGAGGGAAGGACGTGTTTCCAGTCTCTCCTCCTGGCTTATAGACGCCGTTTTCTCTCTGAGTCTCCTCATGTCACTTCCTTCTGGGCGTGTCTCTGTGTCCAGATTTCCCCGTTTTATAAGGACACGAATCGTATCTGATTAGGGTCCACCTTCATGACTTCATTTTTATTTGATTACTTCTGTAAAGACTCCATCTCCAGAGAAAGTCACATTCTGGGGTACTGGGGGTTAGCACTTCAACATATGAATTCTGGGGGACACAGTTCAGTTCACAACATGGTCCATACTCCACCCACACCCCAGGCAATCATTGCTTTGCTTCTTGTCACCTTAGATTGGTTTCCTTGTTCTAGAGTTTCGTATAAATGGGGTCACACAGTATGTGCTGTCCCGTGTCTGGGGCTCCTTTTGCTCAGGGCGCTGCTTTGAGATTCATTCATGCTATTGAGAGTATCAGTAAGTAGTTCCTTTTGTTGCTGGAGAGCCCTTCGAGGATTATACCACATGTTGTTTATCCACTCACCTGCCAGTGGATGCGTGGGCTGTGTCCTGGGGTCATTTTGACCATGATCCAAAGTATAAGAAATACATTTTATGTTTACATTTATATGCTCACATATATATATAAAATATATTAAATGAAAAAACATTCCATGAATACTGAGCTTTACTATATGTGAAGTACTCTTTGATCCATTCCATTCCAGTCCAAAAACTGTTGGATATGACTACGAAATTGATTTTTTATGACCCACAAAAGGGTCATGGCTAAAGTTTAAAACTTTTTTTGGATGGGAGTGGTGGAGAAAAGAGTGAAGAAAAATTAACCAATTTGTACAACTTTGGCTCATCCCCACTGTGTTCACCTGCTGAACAACCAAAATCCAACCTCAGCTATCACAGCAGATAGCACACGGATAACGTGCAGAGAGAATGTCAATTGAGACACACGCTCAGATTCACAAGAAAGATTGTCTTAGCGTAGTTTGAGTTTAAGACTTTTCTTCATGTTCAGTCTTGGTCTCTGATGCTGAAGATGCGATTCAGAGCTGGGTCCAGTTCTTCCCCATCAGAGGGCAGTTGGCTTGGACTCATGGTGCCCATCACACGGCAGATCACACAGGGAAAGATGGTATCAGTCCAGATAGGTCAGGTGGGGTTACATATGCCATGGTAACAAACAACCCCAGCGTCTCAGTGGCTTAACCTACAGTGGTTTATTTCTGGCCACTCCAGTTTCACTGAGTATTTGCAAACTGTGCAGGTCAACTCTCCTCCAAGCGGTGCTTCAGGGATTGAGGTTCATTTGACCTTGTGGCTCCATCTCAGTATGAGGCCTCCCTTGTGGCTGGTGAAGAGGGTGGGAGCCAGGAGACAGCTGGAGGGTCTATGTTTTGGCCCCAAAGCAATCCATATGCCTTCTTCCCAAACTCACTGGCTAGAAGCAGTTGTTAGAACACGGACTGAGTCACCTGCAAGGGAACTGAGCAGTGGAGTTACCCATGCACCTGGCGGGCAGGAGAACCGGGCAAACTGGTGAACATTAGCAATGTCTCCATGGACTTCTAACCTTGAGGATACCTCGCCTCTAGCTCCACAGATCTCCCTGCCACCCCTGCTCCCTGCTGCCATCTGCATGCACCTGCTTCTCTTCCTGCCTGCTCGGTGCCCTGCTTGGTCTGCGGAGCAGATCGACTCTCTGCAGCAGTAGAGTCGAGTCTGGGGCACTGGGCTCTTGTTTTCCCCAGACCTTGACCTTGAATAGGTGAAGGATTCCCTGGCACTTTGCCTGCCTCTCTGGAAGCATGTGAGAAGATGTGTCCAGGACAGAGAGAGTGGGGGACCAAGAGTAAGTGTGGCTGTGTCAGTCTAGCCCCAAGGGGGTCCTGCTTAAACAAGAACACTTCTACAGGGATTGGCTCCCCAGGGGACAATGTGAGACATGTCAGAGAAGCCCCTAGGAATTGTCAGCAGTCGTGCCTTCCGTCTGAGAGTGGATGGGGTCACTGACAATCCTTTTGATTGCCAGACTTCCCGTAGGGAAAGGGGCCCTGGCTGCAAAGACATGCTTGCTTCTTCACCCCCCACTCACCCCTCTTCATGCAAAGCTCATGTGCAAGTTTTATTAAAATATGACTGTAGCACGAGAGAGGACATCCACGTGCAAGCCTTTTGTGGGCTCCAGTGGTAAAGAATTCGGGTTTTATTTATAGGGCAGCCTCCAGGATCTGACAGGAGGAATTGAGCATGCTGCCAGGGTGTGAAATGAGATTTCCCAGGAGGACATCCAGTGGGTTAGAGGGGCCTGTGGGGAGTGAGAGAGGAGACAGGCAAGGTGAGGCAGGCAGAGCCAGATGGGTGGCAGCTGTGGGGTGGATCCTAGCTCCATGGGAGTGGGGAAGACAGCAGAGCCTTCTTGGGCTCTTGCCTTAGTCAAAGTAACAGTACTTGTTCTCAGCCATTCAGAGCCTTTCTGCAGGGCACTCCTTAGCCTTGGGCAACTGGGCGTTCCTCTCCTGTCCCCTCCACTGGCTTTCCTCCCTTTTCCTTCTTCTCTGCTCCCTCCCCTCCCTGCCCCCTTCCTCTGTTCTCTTCTCTCACTGTGTTTTCTCCCTTTGGTAGGTAGGCATTAGGGCTGTTCATACTTGTTCTGGCTCTTTCTCCTCTGGGAGCCAGATAGGACCACAGTTCTGCTCCTGTTTGAAATGACATTTGGCCATGCAATTTGCTTTGGTCAGTGAAGTGTGAGCAAAAGTTTTGAGTGCAGATACTTTAAGAGCCAGTGCCTGTGCTACCTTCTTTTTCCTCTACCCTAGTGACCAGCGATGCTTGAGATGGTAGCTGTCCCATCAGCCTGGGCACTGGAATGAACAGAGCCCCCAGCTGACCCACACTGAACCTGTAGCAAGAAAGAGAATAAACATTTGTTGTTTTACACCACTGAGATTCCACTGAGACTTTTGGGCTTGTTTGTTACTGCAGCACAGCAGTAACTGTGCTGACACTGACTACTACATTCTCCATGCAAGTGACACTCCATTGCAGTGACACTGACTACTACATTCTCCATGCAAGAACCTTGGAAATGACTCATTCTTATGCAAGAGACATTTAAGTGTCCAAATGCCTCTTTCTAGTGAAAGTGCCTGTCCAGCTCCTTTTAGTCATCACAAAGTGTGGTCTGGGGGGAGAGGGAGGTAGAGCTGCCAAACTTAATGGAAAAGCTACAAGGTGTGCTTGCCTTGCGAACCTACCTGGCTGGCATTCCTGTTATCACAATGTTCCAGGGAGAAGTCAGTTTCCCAAAGTGAAAGTTTTTCTCGTTCTCTGGCAGTAAATGATTCTTAACCTTCACACTGGCAAGCTCCTATGCGGGGATTTATGCGGTGCTCACCACAACTGTGGCCTGGCACTCTTTTGCTCCGTTTCCTTGCCCACTGGGGCTTGGGAGAAACAGTTCTTTTTCTGGTGCTGAGAAATATGCTTCTAGCCCAAAGTTTAATTTTTTCCTTCTTTGTTTTGCTGCCTTGACTGTCTGGTGTTTTAGGATTTTAGCTTGATTAACCTATTTTCTGAAACCTTGCCTTTTCTTCCTGGAGATGGTGTTTTGGGGTCTCTGATAGGAACTTCTGAAGGAGATGGGCACTGAGAGAAGGGCTGACAATGGCCTTGGAGACTGGCCCCTCATTCCCTAGCACGGGTGCTCAGCCAAGGGTGGGGGCCCGGGAGCTGGAAAGCCTGGTGCCCCTGAGGGGCATCTCTGTCTAATGAGCTGTCTAATTAGCTAGTTGTTCTCCTCCTTGGCCATAGTCATGCATGCTGTGGCCCGTGGAGCCCACACCTGGACCTGTCTGGTCAGGCCAGAGGGTCCTTATGAGTCACGGTAGGGCCAGGTGGCCTCAGAGCAACCAGAGGAAGAGCACCAGGAGGGAGATGGGAGAGTTGACCAAAGGCAAAGGGCGATGGCCAGGGAAACACCCAGGGAGTGTGCAAGGTGCATGTGTGCACGTGTGAGTAGGTTGGAGCATGCCCACTACTGCGACGGGAGGATGGAGCAGAACGATAAATGGTGCAGTGCTGGGACATGGGCTGTGGCATTTGATGATGCAACTCATATTTTGTGATGATGTGGGGATAGGGCTCCCTGATCCTCATACAAGCACTGTCTCGGGTATGGAAATAACCCCCAACATACAGGTGTGAGCGGGAGGAACAAGTCCATGTGGCCAGGGGACATGATTCCATTGGCCCTTGTTCTGGCTTCAGAGTCCACTGGGAACCAACGTCCTGACAGCCCAGATCCCCTCTGCTCACCTGTCCATCCGATCCTTGTCCATTGATGTCCCCTCCTTGGACCCACATCTGCCCTCGTGTCTGTTGGGTGCTTGGCCATAGGCAGGCCCTGCAGGGGCAGAGCAGGAGGATGCAGAGTCAGGATAAGGGGTAGTCCCTGCCCACAAGGAGCTTACAGAATTAGCCATGGGGCCAGGGCATAGATACATGCAACAACTGATTAACCGTATGAGCCAGGGATTACTTGATCAGGCCCCCCAAAATTAATTTTGGGGGGTCAAGTGCTCTTACTCTTAACAACTATTACCCTTCTCTTTCTTTCTACCTTTCCTTGGCCAGAGATGACTCCTCCCCTCACCTGGTCCCCAAACTTCAAGTTCATAGATTAATGTGAAGAAGCTACTATGAAGATCAAAGGAATCCCATCCCTGGAAACTTCTAGATTCCAAGTTGGCATGTTGAGACTTGGAAGGGGATGCATGCCAGTGGAATCGGTCTTCTCAACCTCCACTCCCTCATTGCTCCACTCTCCCAGGGAACAGGCAGGGGTTGGGGAAGAGGGGCTTGTTAGGAGAATGCTAATGGAGAAGGGACGTAATAATGTTCCACTGCTTTCCCCTTTGTGCAGAAAAGCAGAGGTGCAGGAGCCACCCAAGAGACTCTCCTTTCAGCTCTGGGCAGGCTGTGATCGTGGGGGGTTGGGGTGCATGTCTCATATGGAGTGTGCCATGTGCTCAGACTGTACCCAGGACTATTGCGGGTTGGGGATATTGGGAATTCTGGCACCAAATGGCATAGCCAATCAGGAGTGACAAAGAAGAGGTGACAGTGTCCCCCCAGGCAGTGAGTGAACCACAGGGATGGCTAACTGGCTTAAGCTGGCCTTCTGGCCCTCCAAGAAATTACTTGGAGGAGCAAAAAGACCTCACCCACAGGAGTTACTGGGTGGACCAATCGCTGACACTGAGTGACCAGGAGGGCATAGATTTTACTACTCTCTATCGGTCACCCACATGGTGACAGTGAGTGTAGCCCAGTTTGTTTCCACTGACACTAACTCTGCCACTCCACAGAGAGAAAGCTCGACCCTCCTATACCTGGAGAATGATCCACGAGCACACCAGGCCTCTACTCCAGCCCAAGAAATAGACCAACCCAAGAAAGCCCAATGATGATGCCTCAACCTTAGAGCCCAGAGCCCTCCCCTCTCTGCCACTGCTGGGTGGTGCACATGCTTGGAGCTGCAGGAAGTCAGAAGCAGGACTAGAGGCGAGGGAGGCAAAAGAAGGGAGAAAGCTCAAAGAGGAAAGTGGACAGTGTCAAAGTGGGGAGTTATGCCCCAAAGACTAGGCTTAAATCAGAAGTAGCCAGAATATCTAGAAGCAACGAGGTTAAGTTTTCTGCTGCAAAGTAGAAATGGATCAAGAAGGAAACTGGCAGAAAAATGGACATATCTGAGCTGGGACCATACAATTCATGTCTGTGGCATCAGGGTTCTTTAAGAAGGTGGGTGTGATAGGCTCAATCATGCCACCACACTGCCCAAAGATGTTCACCCATGAACATGTTACTTCACATGGCCACAAGGGTTTTGCAGATTTGATCAGGTTAAGAATTTTGAGATGAAGAGATTATCCTGAATTACCTGGGTGGGCCCTAAATGAAATTGCATGTGGCCTTGCAAGAGAGAGGCCGGAAGGTCAGGGTTGGGAATGATGCGGCAATGGGCAGCAGAGGTTGGAGGTGTGACTGCTGGCTTGGAAGATGCTAGAGATCCATGGGCCACCTCTGGGAGCTGGAAAAGGGAGGGACTAATTCTCTCCTGGAGCCTCCCAACGGAACACAGCCCTGTGTTGCAGGCTTCTGACCTCTGTAACTGTAAGATAATAAATTTGTATTGTTGTAAGCCACCAAATTTGTAGTAATTTACTACAGCAGCAATAGGAAACTGATAAAATAGTTGATCTGGGTTTGGGCCCTCAACCAGCTGCTGAGAGATTCTTGGACAGTAGAGGTTTTGGGATCAAGGTGGGGCTGGAGAGGCTGGAGAGGCTGGAGAGGCCAGGATCAGGGGAGGCTGAGCATGGTGGGTTTAGACAGGGGGAGTTACTGCGGACAGCAAGTACCCTGGCCTGGCTGGAGCTGACATTTAAGTAGAGAAGAAGGGGGAATGCAGTGGGAGAAGTTGTTTGGGGCTAGAAAGTGGCAGCCCTGAGATCCTGGCTAAGGGGCTTGGGCTTAACCTCAGGGATCACCCAAGATTGCTTCACAGAGAAGGTATCATGGGCTGAATGTTTGTGTCCCTTCAAATTCCTATGTTGAACCCTAATGTCTAATGTGATGCTAGTAGGAGGGACTTGGGAGGTGATTAGGCCATGAGGGTGGAGCCAGATGAGTGCCATTATAAAAGAGACCCCGGAGAGCTGCTTTGCCCCTTCTGCTGTGTGAGGACACTGCTGGCAGGTGCCATCTGTGAACCAGGAAGTGGGCCCTCACCGGACATGAAATCTACTGATGCCTTGATCTTGGACTTCCCAGCCTCCAGAACCATGAGAAATAAACCTCTGCTGTTTATATACCATCCATATTCTTCGGTATCTTTGTTGTGACCCTTGAACCAACAGAAGGGGTGTGATGAAATGTTTCTGGGGAGGGGAGAAAGCAAGGAAGGGGAAGGGATACAGAAGAGTGGGCCATTACAAGACAAGTGGCAAAGCCTTGCAATGGAGAGGAAGGTCAGAGCCCCATGTCCAGACAGGTGAGTTCAAAGCCAGTTCCACCATTTGCTGCTGTGAGACCTCAGGCATGGTTCTTAAAGTTTCTGAGCTTCAATTCCTTCACCTGTACAAATGAGGATGATACCAACTACTCAGCAAGGATATCTGGAGGAGAAAATGAAATACAAAAATGCAACATCTGGCACCCCATACCCTTCCATGCTACTGGCGTGGGTCTTGCCTGCTGATAGTGGGTCGTGTTTGTGAGACAGCCACACCGGAGCTGTCCCTTCACGTTGCCACTGCTTATTACATCTCTCTGTGTGGACCAAATCACAGTCCCCCAAACATCTGATTTATAATATATGCATTTGATAGATTGCCAGCCCCAAAAGTTTAAGCTGATGCGGTGAGTCACAGTTCTATTCCTGGAGAATTCTTGGAGAAGGAAGCCACTGTATCTGCTGCTGCACTTTAACAGGCAGGACTTTCCCATTCACGAAAACAGTTACAACTTGTTTATAGCCCACCGGGTGACAGGCGCTGTGTCAAGTTCTTCCCTCCCATGACTCAGATCCTTACAACAATTGGCAGGGAAGTCACGTCACCCACAGCTTTCTCTCACAGACGAGCAGTCAGACTTAGTGATGTGACATCCAGGGACACAAAGCAGGGAGTGGCCGATATCACTGAATATTCTTTCCTTTACTGTGTCTTCACTACACCGTCCCTATGGCCCTTATCCCCCACCTCCTAGATGTTCCCTCCCTTCTCTCCTCCACTTCAGATCTCGCTGGAACCGATATACTCAGAACTGAATCCAACTCCTTCCCTCCCAGCCAGCTCCTCTTCTGGCAAATGCAGTTTGTCCTCTCTGCTCCAACATCTGATGGGGGACGGTGACCAGCACCTGAGATCCAGACTCTCCTCTCTATTGGCACGGTGTATATGTCCTATGCATTTCTTGGTGTCACGCAAGATGGCGACCCCCTCCAGGGCAGATAACACCCCTGTACCCAGGCCTGGGCTGGGCACAGCTAGCTGCAGCCCCCAGCTGCACTGTGGCATCTTCAACCTGTCTCATGCTGCAGGAACAGATGCTAAGATGGAATGTGGTGTGCAAGATATTTATTTGCACACAAATAAATCACACATGTGGAAGGAAGGGAGAAGAAGAAGTTTTGGGCAGAGGAAGAAGCTGAGTGGCAATGCAGGCCCTACATAGCCTACAGCGGGGTGGCCAGGGCTTCCTGGAAGCATCCGCATGGGGCTACCTTATCCCAGATCCCACCCACTCACCCGCTGCAAGCAGCCACTTTCTCAGTGGAAGGCGAGTTTGTTTAAATATCGGCATGTTAATGGCTGTGAAGCGGTTTGCTCAGTAGGATGTGAAAGAACCTTAGTCAATTTATATTAATGCTCTTAACCTCTGCTGAAGATTTCCTCCTGGACTGCAGATCATGAGAACGGAGTTTCATAGCCAGCACAAGGGAAATGATTTCTCTCCATTTCACCGCTGTGAGCATACTTTACGAGGGTGCCCTTCACTTGCTAAGATATTCCAATGATGATAAATCAAAGTTCAACACTGCGGATGAGCAGAGGCTTCATCGACATTTAGAGAATCCCTTGTAGGTTTCCTGGTGAATTGCCCTTGATTCTTCCTACTCGTTTGTACTTAGGTGCCCTGGGAGAATGCAGAGTGTGACAGAGAGAGGAGAGAGGACGCAGGGGAGAAGAAGGAAGTCTTGCAGTTTTAGTTTACCTGGCTAGGTGGGACCTGGGGCCGGTGGAACAGACAGGAGGGACTAGCTGGTGCGTCATTCTAAGGGGTGGGTGGAATGGGGGTGAAGAGGTTTCAGAGGAACCTGCATGTTCGTGTCCCCCTCCTCAGTGCTCCTTTTCTTGGACCAACCATTCACAGAGGCTGAGAATGCTGCACACCTTCAAGAGCAAAAATGCCAACAGGGAAATCAACACTCCCATTCTGTGGCCCAGAGCAAGAGAGGGGTTAGAGGCCCTTTGCCAACAGTGATTTTAATTTATGATCTGGAACCGAAAAGCCACTCAAAGACAACCTGGCCAGTGTTTTCATTTGCTGGGGCTGCCATAACTGGTGTCTTAGTCCTTTTGAGCTGCTATAACAAAAATGCCATAGACTGAGTGGCTCATAAACAACAGAAATTTATTGCTATCAGTTCTGGAGGTTGGGAAGAGCAAGATCAAGGTGCTGGCAGATTCAATATCTGGCTTACTTTCTGATTTATAGGTAGTGACTTCTTGCTGTGTCTTCACATGGTGGAAAGGGTCAAGGGTATCCCTGGGGCCTCTTTTTTTTTAAATAACCTCATTGATGAGGAATGCACCCCATGACCTAATCACCTTCCAAAGACCCCACTTCCTAGTGCCAGCACTTTACAGGTGAGGATTTCAACATATGATTTTTTTGGGGGGAGTATGGGGACATGAACATTCAGACCATGGCAACAAAGTACCACAGTCTGGGTGGCATAGCAACAGAAAGGTATTTTCTCATAGTTCTAGAGGCTGGAGGTCTGAGATCAAGGCGTCAGCGGGCTGGCTTGGCTTAGTCTGCATGTGTCCTCCCTTCATTCTGGCCTATGTCCAAGTTGCCTCTTCTTACAAGGACCTTGTATTAACTTAATCACCTCTTTACAGACCCTGTCTCCAAACACAGTCACATTCTGAGTTACGGTGGTTAGGACTTCAACCTATGCATTGTGTGTGTGGGGTACATAATGTAGCCTGTAACAGTCATGTTGGGAGAAAGATCACAAGGGACCCTGACAGTTTAATGAAAGCTCTATTTCTTGTCCCAGCAAGGAGTGGACCAGGGTCTGATGTCACAATTGGTGGTGGCTATAGGACACTCAGCCTTTCTTGTGTAACCTGAAGCTGGTGGAGAGGCCTTCATGGAGACTCTTGGCTGCTGCTTCATTGGCCCTGTTTTGTCTGGACCCTCCCTTGGTTGCTTGGTCTGGTGGAGCAGGTGGTGTGGTCAGGGCTAGACCAGGGGGCAGAGGTGATGGCCTGGTCTTCCTGGGGCCTGCCAGCTGGCAGGGGAAGGGATCACACCACCAAAGCAAGAGACCAATAAGAGGCTTTTCTTATGGACTGAATGTTTATGTCCCCTCAAAATTCCTGTAATGAAATCCTAACCCAATGTGATGATGCTTATCAGGAGGTAGAGCCTTTGGCAGGTGATTGGGTCATGAGGGTGGAACCATCAGGAGTGAGAAGTGTCCTTACAAGGGGCAGTCAGAGACCTAGCTGGTTCTCTTTCCACCATGAAAAGATAGAGGAAGTCAGTCATCTGCAACCCGGAAGAGAGTCCACACCAGAACCGGACCGTGCTGGCACCCTGATCTCAGACTTGCAGCATCTGTTGTTTATAAGCCACCCAGTCTATGGTATCCTTGTCACAGTGGCCTGACCTGCCTTACAGTTCCCCTGGGTGATGCTGTGGGTACAAGATCTCAGAGGGAGGAGAAGGTGGGGGGCACAGGGGTTCCTGGGCTGGGCTTGATTTGGCCTTGACAACCGAGGATGTGGATAGCTGAGAGGAGAGGAGAGGAGGGGGCTCCTCTCGTCATTGTTTGAGCAACGATGTGGACAAAGTGAAAATGGACATGTCCATACACATGGGACATGCTTTTTCTATCGACCTTTTGCTGGCAACCTGAGTTTCAACAGCTCTTGGGGTCCTTATGGTCTCCCCAGCTCTTGCTGGCATGTGACCTGCGGACGTAGGAGCTCGAGTTCCCTGCAAAGCATTCCTGCCTACGTATCTGCAGAGCCTGCAGGGTTGTCTCACATGGGCACATACATGTGCCTGCTCCTGCCAGGCCTGGCCACTGCTCTACTACCCCTTGCTGGGCACATTCCTGCTGAGTCTTGCTCGGTATCGCAGCCCCCCTGGGACCCTGTAGCTTCCTCATCAATTGCTGGCTCTGCTCCTTTTGCCCCAGCTCCACATTTGTTCTGCCTCTGTCTTTGTGGCCCAGAGCAGGGGGATGCCCTGCCGTGGGGTGAGGGGTGGAGGTGGAAAATAGCCCCTATTTTATGCTTGACCCTCTGCTAGAGGGTCCTGACAAGGTGTGGCTGGTGCTCTGATGTCATACTAGAATTTGAGAGAAATAACTCATTTGGGTCTTATCGAGAACTTCTTTGCCTTCCTGGGACTCAGATGTGAGTTTGCAGTGATGGGGTGGCTCTGTGTGACGCTGCCACCGTGCCACCCTCTGAGTTGCGTCTTCCTTCAGTGCACTCAAGCTCTTTGTGCTGGGTCATCCCTCTCCCAGTCCTTGTGCTAACAGGCTTTTGGTGGACCTGCCCATGTTTATGTTGCCTATAGACATGCATAATATCATTTTATATCGGGGAATTTGATTTGCACGGCACTTGGAGCATAGCGTCGTTCAGAAGAGGAGAAGACAGGAATCCATTCCTGGTTTTGCCACTCGCTTGCTGGGTGACCTTGGGCAGGATACTTGGCCTGTCTGGTCTTGTGTTTCCTACATGTAAAGTGAGCATGCTGGGCTAGGTGTATAAGGTCTCTGTAAGCGATGATGAGTAGCACATGCCAGTCTGTGCAACTGTGGACTCGACTATCAGAGT